GTCACTGGTTCTCTGAAGGTTGTCACTGGTTCTCTGAAGGTTGTCACTGGTTCTCTGAAGGCTGTCACTGGTTCTCTGAAGGTTGTCACTGGTTCTCTGAAGGTTGTCTCTGGTTCTCTGAAGGTTGTCACTGGTTCTCTGAAGGTTGTCACTGGTTATCTGAAGGTTGTCACTGGTTCTCTGAAGGTTGTCACTGGTTCTCTGAAGGTTGTCACTGGTTCTCTGAAGGTTGTCTCTGGTTCTCTGAAGGTTGTCTCTGGTTCTCTGAAGGCTGTCACTGGTTCTCTGAAGGTTGTCACTGGTTCTCTGAAGGTTGTCACTGGTTCTCTGAAGGTTGTCTCTGGTTCTCTGAAGGTTGTCTCTGGTTCTCTGAAGGTTGTCACTGGTTCTCTGAAGGCTGTCACTGGTTCTCTGAAGGTTGTCACTGGTTCTCTGAAGGTTGTCACTGGTTCTCTGAAGGTTGTCACTGGTTCTCTGAAGGCTGTCACTGGTTCTCTGAAGGCTGTCACTGGTTCTCTGAAGGTTGTCACTGGTTCTCTGAAGGTTGTCACTGGTTCTCTGAAGGTTGTCACTGGTTCTCTGAAGGTTGTCACTGGTTCTCTGAAGGTTGTCACTGGTTCTCTGAAGGTTGTCACTGGTTCTCTGAATGTTGTCACTGGTTCTCTGAAGGTTGTCACTGGTTCTCTGAAGGTTGTCTCTGGTTCTCTGAAGGTTGTCACTGGTTCTCTGAAGGTTGTCACTGGTTCTCTGAAGGTTGTCTCTGGTTCTCTGAAGTTTGTCACTGGTTCTCTGAAGGTTGTCACTGGTTCTCTGAAGGTTGTCACTGGTTCTCTGAAGGCTGTCACTGGTTCTCTGAAGGTTGTCACTGGTTCTCTGAAGGCTGTCACTGGTTCTCTGAAGGTTGTCACTGGTTCTCTGAAGGTTGTCACTGGTTCTCTGAAGGTTGTCACTGGTTCTCTGAAGGTTGTCACTGGTTCTCTGAAGGTTGTCACTGGTTCTCTGAAGGTTGTCACTGGTTCTCTGAAGGTTGTCACTGGTTCTCTGAAGGTTGTCACTGGTTCTCTGAATGTTGTCACTGGTTCTCTGAAGGTTGTCACTGGTTCTCTGAAGGTTGTCTCTGGTTCTCTGAAGGTTGTCACTGGTTCTCTGAAGGTTGTCACTGGTTCTCTGAAGGTTGTCACTGGTTCTCTGAATGTTGTCACTGGTTCTCTGAAGGTTGTCACTGGTTCTCTGAAGGTTGTCTCTGGTTCTCTGAAGGTTGTCACTGGTTCTCTGAAGGTTGTCTCTGGTTCTCTGAAGTTTGTCACTGGTTCTCTGAAGGTTGTCACTGGTTCTCTGAAGGTTGTCACTGGTTCTCTGAAGGCTGTCACTGGTTCTCTGAAGGTTGTCACTGGTTCTCTGAAGGTTGTCACTGGTTCTCTAAAGGCTGTCACTGGTGCTCTGAAAGCTGTCACTTCTTCACTGAAAGCCGTCAGTGCCTCAGATTCCTTAACACAACAGCACTGAACACCTACTCCTAGGTTGAGGGACTGACTACCTCAACTTCCACCTCTTTCCAGTCTTCTGCATCGGACTGATAAAGCCCCAGGATGTCGAAATGTCTACAGAAGAAACGTACCCAGATGTTTCACACACGTCGCACACAACGACACTTAAGTACAGCCACCAGCGACTTAACAGAGGAAGGCAGAGGAGGCCCAATAGTGACCTGACGCTATAAGTTAAGGACATAAGAAAGGAGGAACACTGCAGCAGGTCTACTGGCCCATACTTGGCAGGTCCTTTTCAAATGCATCCCACTAACTAATGTTCCATCACACAGCACGGTTGTACTGTTATATTATTAAATATTTAATTAATGGTTTATTTACAAGTACATGTACAAAGTATACATGTACAAGGTATACATGTACAAGGTATACATGTACAAGGTATACAGACCATAGTTGACACCAGTGACATACTTCTATGTATATAGAAAGTCCCTTGTTATGCTGAGCATTTCCAGCAAATTATGTCAGTTGTGTCCCAGGATGTGACCCACACCAGTCCACTAACACCCAGGATGTGACCCACACCAGTCCACTAACACCCAGGATGTGACCCACACCAGTCCACTAACACCCAGGATGTGACCCACACCGGTCCACTAACACCCAGGATGTGACCCACACCAGTCCACTAACACCCAGGATGTGACCCACACCGGTCCACTAACACCCAGGATGTGACCCACACCAGTCCACTAACACCCAGGATGTGACCCACACCAGTCCACTAAACACCCAGGATGTGACCCACACCAGTCCACTAACACCAGGATGCTACCCACACCAGTCCACTAACACCCAGGATGCCACCAACACCAGTCCACTAACCCAGGATGTGACCCACACCAGTCACTAACACCCAGGATGTGACCCACACCAGTCCACTAACACCCAGGATGTGACCCACACCAGTCCACTAACACCCAGGATGCCACCCACACCAGTCCACTAACACACAGGATGTGACCCACACCAGTCCACTAACACCCAGGATGCCACCCACACCAGTCCACTAACACCAGGATGTGACCACAACCAGTCCACTAACACCCAGGATGTGACCCACACAGTCCACTAACACCCAGGATGCACCCACACCAGTCACTAACACCCAGGATGCCACCCACACCAGTCCACTAACACCCAGGATGTGACCCACACCAGTCCACTAACACCCAGGATGCCACCCACACCAGTCCACTAACACCCAGGATGTACCCACACCAGCCCACTAACACCCAGGATTGCCACCCACACCAGTCCACAAAAACCCAGGATGTGACCCACACCAGTCCACTAACCCCCAGGATGCGACCACACCAGTCCACTAACACCCAGGATGTGACCCACACCAGTCCACTAACACCCAGGATGCGACCCACACCAGTCCACTAACACCCAGGATGTGACCCACACCAGTCCACTAACACCCAGGATGTGACCCACACCAGTCCACTAACACCCAGGATGCCACCCACACCAGTCCACTAACATCCAGGATGCCACCCACACCAGTCCACTAACACCCAGGATGCCACCCACACCAGTCCACTAACACCCAGGTACCCATTATACAGTTGGGTGAACATATACAACCGATGTAAGGAAACACGTCCAATGTTTCCAGTCCTTCGCCAGGAATCGAACCCGGACCCCTCACCGCGTGAACCCAGAGTTTTTGCCGCCCGGCCACGGGATACTCAGGATGGTTGTACTGTCAGCTTACTACAACAACTCAGTAACTACCACAGCCTGTATACAGACCTCTGTGACTCTGTATTCATAGCTCCTGGCCCCACCTCTTCCTTGGTCACTACTAGGTCCACTCTCTCCCTGCTCCATGAGCTTTATCATACCTCTTCTTAAAGCTATGTATGGATCCTGCCTCCACTACATCACTCTCCAGATTGTTCCACTTCCTGACTACTCTGTGACTGAAAAAATACTTCCTAACATCCCTGTGACTCATCTGAGTCTTCAACTTTCAGTTGTGACCCCTTGTTGCTGTGTCTCCGTGTTGCTGTGTCTCCGTGTTGCTGTGTCTCCTTGTTGCTGTGTCCCCTTGTTTCTGTGTCTCCTTGTTGCTGTGTCCCCTTGTTGCTGTGTCTCCGTGTTGCTGTGTCCCCTTGCTGCTGTGTCCTCTTGTTGCTGTGTCCCCTTGTTGCTCTGTCCCTTGTTGCTCTGTCCCCTTGTTGCTCTGTCCTCTTGTTGCTGTGCCCCCTTGTTGCTCTGTTCCCTTGTTGCTCTGTCCCCTTGTTGCTCTGTCCCCTTGTTGCTCTGTCCCCTTGTTGCTGTGCCCCTTGTTGCTCTGTCCCCTTGTTGTGGTGCCCCTTGTTGCTCTGTCCCCTTGTTGTGGTGCCCCCTTGTTGCTGTGTTTCCGTGTTGCTGTGTCTCCTTGTTGCTGTGTTTCCCTGTTGCTGTGTCTCCTTGTTGCTGTGTTTCCGTGTTGCTGTGTCTCCTTGTTGCTGTGTTTCCGTGTTGCTGTGTCTCCTTGTTGCTGTGTCCTCTTGTTGCTGTGTCCCTTGTTGCTCTGTCCCTTGTTGCTCTGTCCCCTTGTTGCTCTGTCCCCTTGTTGCTGTGTCCCCTTTTGCTCTGTCCCTTGTTGCTGTGTCC